AACACGAGTCCTGTAACAAGCATCCTACGGTTTTAAAAGTTAGACAAGACATAACTAAATATCTTTTTTTTAGCATCAGTACAGACACAAGCGCTCATATACACGCGCATACACTCAAATATCATCTAGATGAAAATTAGCAAATCTATTATAAGAATGGCCTTTTTAATCCAAACAAAAAATGCACAAACGTATGACAACATAAAACTAACTAAAACTGTTTTTTCTTAAATTTCTCCTAAATCCCGATCTAACTTAAATTCTTCTAATCCGAACAACCACCGAGGTGTCCAAATGCAATTCAATCTTTTGTTTGATACGTCGGTACCTTAACCATACTACTGATCATAAAGCTGCCTCATACTATAATATTTATTAATGCAAACATTGCACGCAGACAAAGAGGCATCATATATAACTTGTTTAATTAATATGAAACATGAGAGATTTTCCACACAATAATCATGCTATTTATTACTCCCTTCGTTTCATAATTCATGTTGACAAAAATTATGAAACAAATGGAGCAACTGGCTTTTTTATATATCTTTAAAAAATAGGATTAGTGGGATCGTATCTCTAGTCGTATAAAAGACTTTGTTGGTGTTGATGGTGTGTCTGTCATCCGTCATTTCCGACCATCAAATCTACATCCAATGATTGTGAGGTAAGCTGTGACATTTTTGTAATAAGACCCCACTTCTCTGCTCCAATTTATAGAAAACCCTTAGTATTTTGAAAGCAACTACATCCCTGCCTCACATAAAAAAACAAGGTATATATTTTGAGTGTAACCTAATACGAGTATATTTTTAGTGTATTGTTTTACTTTGGATCCGTTGCAACGCACGAACGCATTGCTAGTAATAAAACAATTTCAAATGATAAGTGCCGCATGTGTGGCATGAAGCACTCCGGCCCTGATGTTTTCTACAAGTAAAATTATCAGTCGAAAAGAAAATGTAAACCTAAAAGATCTTGAAACTTGTCATCCGAAAAAAAAGTTGCCATGCTTGACAATTAAGTTGCCGTCCTCACGTCACTAAACTTACCATAAAAAACCTTGGAGTTTGTATGTGTTTGTACCACCCGTGTGATATTTATCATGATCCAAAGCAAAAGAGAGTAGCTTGATTCCAAACATATACGAGCATAAATGAAAGGTGATGCTGCCATGACGGCGGGAGAAGATCTCGAACAACAAAGGCAAAAAAACAAGTAAACGAAAATATGTACTAAGCTCTCGTATCAACATGACATTACCATCTCCAGTACAAGTCGATCGAAAATCGAAGAAACATGAAGCATGACTGTAGACAGCAAATTCACACATATGCAAGTGATGGATTGGATGGCATGCCGAACCGTCGACCGCCACGAGGTGACCGATCTCCGATCCTACCAGTAGTCTGGGCCGTAAAGCAGGCCGGCGCCTCCCGTTTGGTCATACATGCTCTGGAACGGCGGAGGCATGGCTCCGGCGCCGGCCGCGTAGTCCGCCGTGGACGGCATCGCCGGCGGCAAAGCCCGGGCGCCCGCAGCGGCCGTAGCCCCGGCCGTCGGGGAGGCGCGCCCGTACGAGGAGTAGGAGGAGGAGGACGAGGAGGAGTAGTAGGACGGGACGCCCGGGAGGTCGTGGTCGGCCACGTTGGAGTCGCGGCCCGTGAGCTCCTGCACGATGGCGCGGAACTCCTCGGCGCTGGCGGTGAGCATCATGGGGCTGGAGATGTAGACGACCTTGATCCCCTTGCCGCCGCCCTTGCCCTTCCCGCCGCCCTTGCCGTGGTGGTGCACCGGCGGCTTGGAGATGCCGTTGTGCTGCCCGTGGTGCACGCTCAGCTTGTCCATCCCAACAATCTCGATCGAACACGTACAGCAGCAGCAGCAGCAATGAGACGAAGCCAAGGAGAGCGCGCGATGAAGCTGAAGCGGACTGAGCGATCAACCAGCTGAGCCAAGTTGGTTAAGCTAAGCTGCTTTGGGATGAGGAGGTGATGGGGGGTTTTGTTGGCGGGGCGTTTATATAGGGTTGCGCGGCCGCAAGATTACAAGGTCCGGTCAGGGAGACGATCTTTGTTTCAAGATATCGCCACTGCGCTTCTGCGGCTGTGGATTGGCCCCCGCAGGTTCCCGGAATCCGCCGGATAATAATTTTGTTGCGGGCTCCGGCCGGGCCGAATTGTGGCACATGGGGCTTTGATTGAGGTCATAGGGCGTGACGGTTTCGTGCGCATCGTACCGTTGCCTGGGAAAGTTGGTGAGTGGGTTGATTGGACGACCGGCGCGGGATGGTTTTGAGAGCGAGAGGTGAAGGTTCCTGGAAAAGCAGGGCGCTGGAGTTACATGGACGTGGACGTCTGGTTACTTTTGTGTGCGTGACCGTTTGTTCACTTGTGCATAGGCTTGTAGCACTAGTGTATCTGAAAGGGGGTGTATTAGCCTTTCAGTTCAAACCATGCAACATCTCGGCGGTCTTCCTGTTCCAGTCCACGTACGGCTCCACGGAGAAAATCTGTTTGGCGCCGTGGCGATCGGCATCGATCGAGATGTCTCTTCGTTTCTCTGTGTGTACCACATGCACGTGCATCCGTAGTGTGAATTTTCCCGTGGCAGGAAAGTGCCTGCTTCCAGACCATGGGGATACACGTCTGAATTTTCTCACTGCCAGTTTTAATTGATCGATATAAGGTTGTTTCAGAATGGGGCTAGTAACGAAGTACTAATTGGTAGGGGAATGCTTCTGCACCTCACCCTACATCTCGCGCATATATATCCCCATCAGACTGATGTTATAGCTACCAAATTCGAACTCAGTCTAATTTCAAGAGGCGCCACTAGTTAATTAGATGGAGCAATACGGTTTGGGTTCGAAAAACATAGATAATCAGTCAGTTTCTCATGCTCAACCCACCTAACCTGCCTGTTGTGGAAAGAATCCAAGTAGTAGTATATATTCCAACTAAAAAATGTCAGAGTCCTTGTCGATTTTGGTTAATTAATTATTTTCCCGGTCCAAGATTTTGTGGCCGTGTACTCTCTACATCTAGATACATCCATACCTGTGACGAGTAATTCGAAATGGAGGGAGTAGTACTTATAGGATCTATGATGGGACGCCACGATCGTTGGCATTCACCGGCTGGGCCGGCGCGTGCTTCTTCTATCAGCTGAACGAGCAGGATGCGTGGTCAAAGCTCAAGCTCGCCGACCTTGCACTTCCAAGTTCCAACGGAGAACATGATACGTGTCTGGATGATTGCTTGTGGAAGACGTACAAGTACAACAATGCACGCTTCTACTCGTATCCATCGAACGAACTCGCGTGTCAGTGAGACAGTGACTCGCCGGATCGGTTAGTTTTTTCACTTGAAGTTGAACACCCGGGCTTACGTACGTGTTGCGCAATCGATGACGTCTGAGTGTTCCCGTCATTTGGTAAGGCGACCAGAGAGTGATCAGCACCGGGGCGGGGTGAATTGGAGGAAGGCTCGGGAAGAAGACGGCCGTTAAATACTCCTAGATCGCAATGGCGCGACACGGACGCCAAGGCCTAAGGGAACTACGGAGATGGACGGGGGAGAAAGAATAACCACCAGCCATTTTGGTCGGAACAGTGTGATCTTGGTCGATACGGTAGGAAGGACATGCTGAGGCGACGTCCAGGACCAGTCCGGGTGAAGTTTCCTCGCGGCAGCGATGTCACCGAAATTCCACTCTTAGTCAAGGTGTGCCGTAGGTCCCTGTCGCCCGATCGCCATCGAGGTATCCAGGAAGGCAGCGCCCCATGCACATGTATCCTTGTTTCTGACCCTAAAAAAAAAATGTATCCTTGTTTCTCTGAATGTGTACACCTGTATCCTTTTTGTGCAAGTGTGAGGTCGCTGATTTGGAGCCATGCATCTTGGCGTCCGGATATCATTTGCTTCACTATTGGGGTGTCTTGCCCATTTTTCTCTCTATTCCAGTTACCAGATTCATTGTTGAAGTTCTGGGATACGCAGGAGGGTCGATCGTGGACCACGTGCCAAGCTTAACGTGGAGAAGTAGACCAAAGGCCCCGACCAGTTATTAATCGAGGGTCAAATATATCCCCTCAATCAGCTGCATCGTTAGGACATGACGTGGCGTTTTAAAGTTTGTTTGATAACATGGAATCAACTCGTTGCACGTCGCTCGGTCAAGTAGATAGTGTAGTCAGAGAGTGATTTCAACTAGTTAGTTTATTTAACCACTTTTCCCTGGAAAAAGTGTACATCGGCCGATTACGTAATCCCTTTGTAACACGAGAATTTCACAGGAAGAACGTTTCCCGCAGAAGGTTATAAAATCCTTGCACTGATTTCAGTCACCAATGTCTTTGCTGTAAAATACAAAAAATTCCACGACTATGTAGGCTGATTGATGTTTTGGCCCTTGATTAACAAACTCATCGGGGCCTTACCAACGTAACTGAAAGAACTCGGTCTCTGAAAGTTGTTCCCTGGATTGATAGCTTCAAACAATACTGGCATATTGACAAGTGCAGCTTGGTCAGATTACTTCTTGATTAACATCACGTTTACAGATGAACACAACCGCACCTACTAGTTAAGTATGTAGCTAGTGTCACCTAGTGAGGTTTGATCATGTCACTGATTACAGCAGCGAACGCCCGGCAATCATGTCAACCAGCTTGATCAATTAACAATGCATGCATGCATGCATCCGGACGTTGCCTGGCTAGCTGGACCAGGTCTGTCGCGTTGAGCCTCTCCAATTTGTTAACAAATAGGTCAACCATGGTTGCGTTGGAGAGCTAACTTTTTGATCCCCTAGAAGCAATGCGTTTCCACAAGCAACACGTAAAAATAGTTGCATATATTCATCGCTCAGCTCATCGGTACCTTGAAGAGAAAGAAAGGGGGGTAAACTCCAGAGACCCAGCTCCGCAGCGTGTTTTTCTTGGAATCGGAAGGAACCGAGTAATAAACAGTAGTAAACAATGCGTTTCCGCAAAGGACCTTGAGCCACAGATCAGTACGCGCACAAGCTAAGACAAAGAAATCAAAGAGGCTAGCTAGACTCTAGAGCACATCCTTTTTGTCAATCTGATGAAGCGCGAAACGGTGCCGATCCGGCTTGGTGGCACGTACTCCTACTACGGAGGAGTAGTACTTAGCAGCGCGGCAAACCCGGTCCCTGGTCCATGGTTGGTCAAGAACTGTTCAAAGTTTCGGACCGACGGAAAATGTCTCCCCTGACCAGATTTTCGTCAACTGCCTACGACTCAAGCAATGGAAGCAGCATAGGAGTACTTCATTATTGGTCCTCCGCCCTATCTCTCTATTATCTCGCTATTTTATATACTCCAAGAAGGGGAAATTAGTTATGTGGTCACCCTTGGTACGTCTAGTTAACTATGCTAGCTTTCCAGCTCAAAAATGAAAAACTAAGCTAGCTTTGGAAGACGGCATAAACTAGAACCTAACCTAATCCATCACCGTCATATCCGAAAGAGTCCTGGAAACTAGATGGTTTGTTTAATATGCCTGACCTTCTAGAGGCTGCGGGATTTGATGACCTCGTGTGCAACTAATTTGGTGTTCATGTCACACTCAAAAGAAAAAGTTGATGTTCATTTCGGCGGTAAACTAATTGATGTTCCTGTCTTGGAACTTTGTAACCACAGGAAACTGAACATTTTATTTTATAGTGTAAAAAACGCCCTCATATTATGAGGCGAAGGAACTAGTACCGAAGGTATAGCTTTTAGGCGGTGGATCCTATTTGACACTTACGGTTTTAGTTTTTCTTTCTTTTTCTTTTTATGTTTTCCTTTTCCCTTTTCTCTTTTTTGTTTTTTGTTTTTCTTTTCTCTTCTTCCGGGTAGATGAACTGTTTGCAAATATGTGAATGTTTTCTTCAAATAGAAGAAGTCTTTTTGAAATTTTATGGACTTTTTCAAATTTGCTGAACTTATTTTCAAAATTGATGAACTTTTGTTTTCAATTTCGTGAACTTTTTTCAAATCTATGTTTTTTTCAATTTTGATGAACTTTTTTCAAAACCGACGAACTTTTTTCAAATTTGATGATTTTTTTTAAATCAATGAAATTTTTATGATTATTAAACTTTTGATCAAATCGGTGAACTTTTTCAAAATCGATGAACCTTTTTCAAATTTGTATTTTTTTTAAATTTCATGAAATTTATACTAAATTTGTGAAAAATTTCAAATTCTTGAATTTTCTCAAATATACATTTTATTTATTTATTTGTGTTTTCATTTTCAAATACTGTTGACCAATTTTTTCCCTTGAAATGATGATCAAATTGTTAATTGTAGCTTATGTCCTCCTCAAGTATTGTTTCAGAGGATATATTTTATCGATGATATTCGTTCAAAATTAACAATTTAGTTCACTAGCTTTTTTACTTTTGATTCTGGTTGTTTTTTCTTTGCCATCTACTTTATAATCCAGCTTGAAAACAGTTCGTGAAAACAGTAACGAATCGAGACCTGGCTTTAACGAAGGAAAAAATGATTCGCTAAAACGCTTCCAAAACCAGTCGTAAGTTGGGCCAAAGTAGAAGTAGCCCACAAGTCCTTGCTGCAGGCACAGCTTCTCCTAATCGGCATCGAAGGGGAGCAACTAGTTAACGAGCGCTTCTTCGGGAGCCTCGCAACAATCAGCATCACTTGGCGCGCTCCCAGCCATTCGCCACGTGTCGCGCTCTGGACGCTTCCTCTGGATTTATTTTTTTTTATTTTTCCACACGTGTTTTCGACTTTTTAAACAGGTTTTTTCGACGTTTTGGTTTTCCCGGTCTTCCTTAACTTTTCGATAAAAAAAATCGATTATTTTTTG